GAAAATCAACTTAACACTGATCAGCTAACTGAAAATTTAACATATCAAGAAGATGAGCAAAATGATATAAACTTCCAAGATGATTTTGGTGAGATTGGTCCCTTACATAGAGAAGATGTAGAGCCACAAATTTTGGAATCTGTACAAAATGTGCATTTATAATCAACTCAGACTACTGATTTTATATGCGATGAAGATGAAGAAGAGGAATATGATGCAACATTAGCTGAATATTTTAGTGAAGATGATGTTTATGTACATATCAACATTGACAGTGATAAAGACTAGGTTGTTCTTTATGACTTATTTGTTTCATATGTTATAATAACTTGATAAATTTGCTTTTTAATAATTTTTTTTTTGTTTCATTTTGCAGTTTATTAAGTCATGGCTCTAGGAAAATGGATAAGCTCTCGAATAATTGATAATTACTCACATTTATTTGAACCATCAATAAGTAATAATGTACAGTCTTCCTTAAAAAATGATGCTTCACATGTCGTATCTACTCTTAATAATGGTAAGTTGGTATTTTTTTTATCTCATTAGGTTAAATTCTTTTTTATGTTTTTTTCTCTTGCAGGCTTAAATACTATCCTTTGATAAATATAATTTCTTTTGTACATCAATTGAAGGAGGTTTGCCTATAGGAGAAGCATCTCCAATAGCTGATAGGCCAAGTTTACCTCATCCGCCAGCACCAGAGACTGAGACAACTAACATTGGTATTATTACTTATGGCTTCTTCAAATTTAATAATTATGATAAATATAAATGACTTTGTTATTTACTTTTATTTTTTTTTCAGCTTCAAGTTCTAATAAAAAAAGGGGTCCTAATAGAGGTGTAGCATTAGAGGAGCATTACAGAACAAAAGGTAAAATATCAATAATCATTCCAGAGGTCTTGAATAGGCCAGTTGGAGAGCATCACTCAAAGTTGTCTAGAGAAGCAGGTATTATAATTAGAAACTTTGCACCCATGCAAGTTGAAAGATGGGATCAAGTTAGTGATGCTGATAAAGAAATACTTTTAAAGAAATTGATGGTAAGAACTTTAAATATTCTTTTAGTTATTTTTTATCTTAAACTCAATTCCGTTTATGAAATTGATGGTAAGAAATTTAAAAAATTTCTATGATTTTCGTTATACTATGATTGTCAATGTGATTAACCAATAGACCATTTGCAGCACTTGAATTGCCTAGGACTAGTGTTATAACTATGGTGATGTTGGAATTGACCACCAGGAGTTTATATGTAAGCCTGGTGACCATAGATTTCCATAAGTAGCCAGGAGAGTCATATACAACTAAATCACTTGTTAAATAATATACCATATGAAGTAGATGCTCGCAAGAAATACAAAAATAGAGAAAGATGTTATACTTAGTTTAGGGGCTGCAGCTATAAGTATCTGAAATTATAATCAGTGCAAAACATAAAAAATCAAAATTATTAATGCAATCTGAAACTCGCAAGTATTCAAGGTCAGAACCACTAGATGTCAAAATAATAAACTCACATAAAATTTTTCACTAAACTTTGTCTTTTTTAAGAAACCAACTATTAATTCTCCTAAGCCTTTTTTGCAGTCAGGAAGCAAAAGTATTTTTTAAGTTTAACGTAACACTACAACTTGTTTGTAGTGAAATTCAAGGTAAAACTGCAGAAGTTTCTTCATTTATTGTTTGACATTTTGAAATTTTAAGGAATTGAAGATCAACTCATCTATACCTGTGTTGCAGTAAGGAAGCAGTTAATATTTTTGAAGTTCTACGTTGCAGTGCAGTTAGTTTGCAGACACACACGCAGGGAGAATAGAAACTTAGAGTTTGATACAAGTGCAGGGTTATCATTGGCAAAGTCTGCATTGGCCTTCGAACACAAACAATAAACAATGAACAACATTTGCATGCCTTGTCGTCTTACTACCATTCTATTCCTCCTATCATATTTTCAATGAGATAATAGAATCATAAATCCTGACGCTGAATTCAACAATACTTTCATA